GTAGCAAACGATGAGCGCTCGCCGTGCAGCTCCCTGTGGCCTGGACGTCCCCCGGGTGCGGAAGGCCCCGGGGGCGAGAGGGTGAGGGCCCCGGGCTGCCTGCGCCGGGGTCCAACTTACATGACAAAACGTGGCGGCGCTCCCAGGTGGCATCACGCAAGCCCTGCCTCATCCCACGCCACCACACCAAGCCAGCCCTCAACCACACACCAACACACCGGCACCGTGGTCGCTCGCTCGCTCGGGACGCCCTCGGCCCCAGGGGAAGGAGGACGGCCGCGAGGGAGGAGCTCGTGTCTGTTTAAGGGTGGAAGTGTGCGGAGGGCCGCCCGGCGGGGGGCGGGGCAGGGCTGGAGGCTGGACTGCCGCCTCCCCTTCAGGACCTCTGGAAGCCCCTTGAGGCCATCGGGGGATGCGTGTTGCCCCCAGGGAGCTTGGTGCTCTACCACACCGTGAGACAGTTTGTGGCCTCGTAGCTACACTCTGCTCTTGGCTCCTCAAGCACTGACCTACACGTGGCTACAAGGCTTTCCCCGCGCAATGCCTACCCCTTAGAGCATGACCTATGCCCCCCCCCCCCCGTGAATCACCTTGGAAAATAACGATATTAAGCGGTAAACTGTCTAAGCGCCCGATCCACAGCGCCACAAAACAGCGCCCCATTGTACTCTGCTTAATAACCTCCCCCTGTTACCCTAGTGCTCTACTTGGCTCTCATTCTATATGCTCTCCATTAACTTCGCATTAGAACTTGTCAGCAGAAATTAGGAGAGCATTTCTTTTTTTTCTTTTAAGAGGAAGTAAACATGCAGATGGGAGGCCGTTCTTTTCTCTTTGTTCCAAACTCCGTGATATTTTCTTTCTTTCACGACGCTTCCTGTACAAACCAACTCGTCTAAAGTGGCCTTGATTCCCCACTCACCCATCTATCCACCACCCTCCGTTATCCCTAAATCATTAAGCCTTCTTCTAACCTCAGCTGGAGAACGCAAGGTACTTAAAGAAAAAAAGAAACATAACAAGATACTTTTTATAATCACCCCTCCTTACGCTATGCAAACAGACCTCTTCAAGCCACTGTACACCCTCCCCCTTCCATCCCCAATTCTCCTCCCTCTTCCTACCACAGTGAAATACTCTCCCTCTCCCCTTTATCATTCAGAGAGACCTTTCATAACCTCTGCCCTCTCCCCCCCCCCCCCGGCGCCTTGGACCTCCTTAACCAATAAAATATGTCCGACGCCAAGGATTTCCCCGGACGAGCTCGCACGACGCACATCCAATGCATGCTATTTATTCGTCCGCCACTTTTTTGCCTATTTTTTTCCTTCTTCTCCTTCCGTAATTTTCGCCATCACGTGATATACACCTAACCGCGGCTCGGAATTCTGTGATAACCTCAACTAATGAAACTTTAATACTATAAAATTACCCGAGCTTGTCCCTTTATGAAACACAATAAACACGCTAATGTCAAAACGATCTTCCTGCAGCTCAGCGCCCTTCGCTCCCCGGCCCGAGGTGATCAGCGAACACCTAGGTATGCGAGTCTACCTTGAAAACTATTATGTATTTTTTTTCTTTCTTTTTTGTCTTTCTTTATCTTCTATTTCTTCGCTTCCTCATGTTCTTCCTTTCTTGTTCTATTAAATTGCTCCCTTTCTTCTGACAGCTTTAATGCGAAGTTGATGTTATTATCCTATCTCAAGCTGTTAACTTTCATCGATCACAAACAAACAAACAAACAAACAATCTCCTCTCTCTCTCTCTCTCTCTCGTAGTGACATTATCCCCCAGTTCTGCAAAGATACTTCCCCCCCCTGCCTTAATCCCCTTCCCACCCCCTGCCCCTACATATACCCCCTAGTCCTCTGTATTACCTAAATCCTCCTGAATGTTGGTGGGCCTCATAATGACGACACACACACACATTTCCTGTCCTGTTTTCCCCTCCATTACTTTTTAATGAACGCAAGACAAATCTTTCCTTCCCCTCTACCTCTACAGCGAAGCCCGAGGGGGAGGACCCGAGTGGGACCTACCTAATCAATTTACTCGAGTTTTCTTTTATGGCTCTGAATCCCCTCCCTTAATGGGCCACCCGATGGCCATTCCCATTCGCTGGCCACCTAACGCTCACCAAAAGCCTATCCTATACACACATGACCTAACAGCCACACCTCGGTGCTACCGAAACACGGGTTGCGCACCGTAGAGTTCTGTCCGCGCGCCCGCCTTGCGTGTGGTGGTGTGACGCTGGCACGATCACAGGCAGGCGGGCGGGCGGAGGGTCGTGGGTGGCAAGGTGGGCGTGGTGTAGTGTAGAGTGGGCGTGAGAGTGGGGTGGGACTTACCTGTAAATCCTGTTTAGCAGCCTCGGCTCCTGCCCGCGTGCTGAACGTGACGAACCCCACCGGCTGGAAGGAAAGGGGAGAGTTAGTGCGCTCCACATGCACGGGCCTCGGGGCTCCGCTACTGCTCCACCCGTCTCCACTCTGGACGGAGGAGCTTCCACTTTAGACATCACTTATTATAAGTCAACATGAAAAAAATACAGTGACAACTTAGAGTTTATATTTAGGAGAAATGCTTTCTCTGTGCCAACGCTTGCCCTTTTGAGACTTCTAATCAACAGAATTAAAACCAGACACTAAAAAAATCAATCAATAAACAAACAAAGCACCAGCGTGACACCCAACCAACCGCTTTACCAACTTCCCCCAAAATAATGAAAACAAAGAGAACCTCCCGCCCACGCCCCGCTGGAGGGTTCTCAACCTCACCCCCTCCCCTCTCAGACAAGCCCCCCCCCCCAAGACATGTCTCCGCAGCGAAGCAGTAAATGCAAAAAGCCCGAAGCAGCCGTCGAGAGGTCGAGTCGGCGAGCGCAGTCGAGTACCCTAACCTTTGGCGCCCTTCGTGGAGATAGAAAAAAAAAAAAATAACCGTGACCTCACGACAAGAATTCTCGGAAGACAGAGGGTTTAAGAAGAAGAAAAAAAGAAAGGGGGAAAAATGAAATCCGAAGCTATCACTCACGGGTCCGAAGCGCCGGCGACACACGGGGACGCGCAGAGAACGTTTTCGCGGGCGAAAGGTCTTTCGTGGTTTCTACTTCGGGATCCATGCAGGCAGTACCTCCCAAATCATGCCTCTTGTTTTCCTTTTTCGAGTAATCAATAGCCGACGCCGCTGGAGGCAATAATCAGCCTAAGTCCTCGGGGTCAGAGAGCCGAGAATGGCGAGTCCTGCGTGGAGTGGGGAGGGAGGGGCAGGTGGAGAGGGTGGAGAAGGGGGGAAAGGAGGGGGCAACACAGGCCAACGGTAGCCATGGGACGGGCGGAGGGGGCGGAGAAGGGAGGTGGGAGGGAGGGGGCTAACAAGACCCGTAAACCCACGTGACCAGAAGGTCGAGTCAACACACGACAGGTGAGGGAAACCAGGTGTTCCCCCTCCTCCCCTCCTTCCCCCCGCTCACTCACTCCCGGGTACATCTACCTGTCCCCTGCCCTTTCCCTGCCCCCGCCTGTCCCCCCTCCCCCCGTCTCAGTAACGGCCCTCCGGCACGCAATCGCCCGGCCGGAGGAGCGCCACAATGCACCGGCCGCCGTCCGCCGCCCTCACCCGCGCCGCCGACCGCCGCGACCCGCCGCCGCCGCCGCCATCGCCGCCGCCGCCGGTTGGACCGAACGGCAGCCTCGGGGCTTTCGCGATCCGCTATTGCTTCTCCTCATGACTCGGTCGGCGTTCCCGCGCGCTCGCCCACTCATGAGTCACGGGGCGCTGCTACGAACGAGGAGGGAAATGAGGACCTTCGCAGAGAGTGAGTCAGTGGACGAGTCTGTCGCTAAATCACGCATACAAATCCATACATTCACACACACACACACACACACACACACACACACACACACACACAGCAAAACACACCACACACACACACACACGCACACACACGACCACCTTTACGATGAAGCGCTAACCCGGATGCGGCAACATTAAGAAATCCCCCTTTTTTTTACGTGTTCGCGCAGGACAAACCTCTATCGACAAATAACCGCGAAGATCGTTCCAGCTGGAAACACGTCAGGGAATATCGGCTGAAATATGTTTTTTCTTCGGCTGTTGTTGTCCGCGGATTAAATCTCATAATACTCCCGTTATGGCTCGGTTAGTTTGCTCAAAATATTATAATCGGGGGTTCGGGATCGCCATATTGACTCCCCGGTCGTTGTCGCAAGTAAAACAAAGAGATTAAAGAAGAAGAAAAAAGTGGGAAAACGAAGAAGAAACGACCTCTCATAAACAAGAACCAAAAAAAGAAAAAGAAAAATACGTATGAATAAAGAAGCTGAAGAAAAATTAACAAAACGGAGAGCAAGCAGAAGAAGAAAAAGGAGAAAAATTCCGGTTTGCTACGCCCGTTTGGCCGTCCGCCCGCCGCCCGCCCGCCCGCCCCGCCCGCCCGCCCGCCCGCCAGTGTCCGCTCCGCCTCCCCCGCCCCATCAACCTGTCCCTTCCAGTTCTTGGAAAATGCGGACAGTCACTCCCCCCCTTCCCCCACAAGCCCCAACCCCCCCTACCCCCTCCAGTCACCATCCCACTCCACCACTCCCTCCCACGCCCATGCCCCCTCTCCTACCCCCTCACCACCCCACTCCATCACTCCTCTCCCTCGCCCATGCCCCCCTCCCTACCCCTCAACCCTCTCGCATTTCGGCCGAGACCATCTCATGCCCTTGCTTTGGCCCCGATTTAACACTTATTTACCGAACCCCCATAATAATGGAATAAAATAAATTAATACAAATAAATACAAAAAAAAAAAAAAAAAAAAAAAAAAAAAAAAAAAAGAAAAAAAACTGGTACTCACCCCCTCCCCTCCCCTTCCTCCTCCCCCCCGCCCCCCCCTCTCTCTCTCATGAGTTGACCTGTTTATCGAGTCTCGAGTTAAGTGGCATTCGGGCAGTGCCAGCATTGCAAGGGCCTCGCCATGGCTCAATATCTGTCCGAGGTTCCGAGCTCCGAGATGCAACGGCGGCGAGAGGAAGAGGAGATCGGAGAGAGCCATCGAAAAACCGACGTCAACCTCTCAACCTCAATCTGGCAACCTCTCACCAGTCAACCTCTCAACCTCAATTTGTCTTCACTGCAACCTCTCAACCTCAATTTGTCTCTCACTTTCCCTACTGCAGCTTCTCACCAGTCAACCTCTCAACCTCAATTTGTGTCTCACTTTTCCTACTGCAACCTCTCACACCTTCTCGCTCCTATTCCCTCTCCTGTTCCAACCTCTCGCTTCGTCAATCCAGGTCTTTCGTTACGTTCCTCTGTTCTAACCTCTCATTCACCTACCCCCCCCCCCCCCCCCCCCCACTGTCGCAACCTCTCATCTACCTGTCCCCCACACCATTATTCCAACTCCCCCCCCCCTCACGACCTCGTCTCAGCAAGCTTTCCCCATTGCAACCTTCCACCCTGGGGTTCTTAACCCCTAGGTGGAGGGGAGAGTGGAGCAATATGAAAATTACGATTTCGAATTAAACCGGATTTTGTCACGCCTACAGTACCTACAGATAACTATCTCCCGCATTTCAATTAATTGGAATCTTTGCATTTTGCAGTTTTGCCCTATAACCACCAGTACCATTTCCTATTTAATAACTAGTCATAGCTGAATCTGGAAGGATGACAGACACTGGAAGAAACCACGCGGATTATTATATATTGCTCGGAGGGCCACGGAACAGAAAAGGTCGGGGACCACTGCTCTGGACCTTAAGCCTTGCCTCCTCCTTCCTACCTCCAAGCCCTCCAACCTCCCTTTTCGCTTCCCCCCCTTTCCCCTCCCCCTTTAAACCTCCCAACCTCCTCTGCCACAATTTCCCTCAACCACAAAGGAGGCAGAAGAACGCATTTGCGTCACCGTGGAGTGCCTCGTGTCTTGACTGAAAATCGGTTTTTCAAAAACAAAATAATTTTCGCGGGGCCACAAATATTTTTGAAAACATTTTTTAAGTAGACAAAAGATGAACAGGTAAATATAATGAATGGGTACGTAATTGAAGTAGCAAGAGGAATAATGGCAGTAGTAGTAGTAATAATGATGATAACGATAATGAGAATAGTAATAATAACATCAATACTACCAGTACCACTAAGAAAACCAACAACAGCTACTAAACTACCTCATACTTGTTTTAATTCCTCTTACAATCGTAAATAAAGGGCGAAAAAAAAAAAAAAAAAAAACGAAAAAAACCAAGCGAAGAAGAACGAAGAGCGAGGAGGGCGGTGATCACGGGTTTCTCGAAGGGAAGTTCGCTGATGGGGCAACATTACCGCAACGGCTAATGCAACTTGATCGCGCCGTAAAAGAGGCGGAGCAACGAAAACAGCGGTCTCCAGGCTACCGATACTTACTCATTTATGCTTTGGCCTCTCTCTCTCTATCTATCTCTCTTTTCATTCTTTCTTTACTTCTCTCTCTCTCTTCTTTAATTTTCTTTCTTTTTTCTCTCTCTTCATTCTTTCTTTCGTTTTCTCCTCTCGCGCTCTCTCTCTGCTTTCTTTCTTTCTTCTCTCTGACTCTCTTTGTCTGTCTCTGTCTCTGTTTCATTCTCTCTCTCTCTCTTCCTTTCTTTCTTTTTGTTGTCTCTTTCTGTCGCTGTCTCTACTCATTTATGCCTTACCCTCTAATTTTCTACCTTTCCTTTCTCTTTGTCTCTCCTTCTCCCACTTCACTTCTTCCTTCCTCCCATCCTCTCACATTCTCTTTCTTTACCCCATCCTGCGCGCGCGCGCGCGTACACGTACACACACACACACACACACACACACACACACACACACACACCACACACACACACACACACATACACGATCACACTACAGAGTACTTTGTATATTCTATATTTATTTCCGTGAAAACCGATTAAATAGGAGAGGAAAAGAGGGAGGAAGGGAGGGAGGAAGAGAGGGAGAGAGAGAGAAGAACAAAATAAAAAAAGAGCTTCGAAAAATAGTCCTGCTGCAGCCCATAAACAAGGCCTGGGAATAAACAAACGACGAAGGAACAGGCGAAAGAAACAAAAGGAAAGAAATTGCGAGGAGGAGAGAAGGAGGGGAGGAGAGAGGAGGGAAGGGGAAGGATGGGGGGAAAGGGAAGGGGGGAAAGGGGAAGGATGGGGGGAAAGGGGAAGGATGGAGGGAAGGGGAAGGAAGGAGGAAGGGGGAAGGATGGAGGGATGGAGGGATGGAGGGATGGAGGGACGAGAGAGAGAGAGAGAGAGAGAGAGAGAGAGAGAGAGAGAGAGAGAGAGAGAGAGAGAGAGAGAGAGAGAGAGAGAGAGAAGAGAGAGAGAGAGAGAGAGAGAGAGAGAGGAGAGAGAGAGAGAGAGAGAGAGAGAGAGAGAGAGAGAGAGAGAGAGAGAGAGAGAGAGAGAGAGAGAGAGAGAGGAGAGAGAGAGAGAGAGAGAGAGAGAGAGAGAGAGAGGAGGAGGAGGCGGAGGGATGGACACATGCCGTCTTCTCACGCTACGGAGGTGAAATGAAAGACGGAGGCGGAGGAGGAGAAAGAGGAACACGAAGAGAAAGGATAAGGAAGAGAAAGAATAAGAATAAGGAGGAGAAGAAGAAGGAGGTAAAGGAGGAGGAGGAGGAGGATAGGAGGGGGAAGGGGAAACAGACGAAGGAAGGAATAGAGTAGAGAATATATGATGATGCATGGGGTGGGAAGAGAAGATAAAAATACGAGGCATAAAGAGACAGATACAAATACATAAACAAATGACAAATGACGAAGTACAAAAATAATGACGTAAATAAAATAACTGACATCAAAACAGCAAAGACAAAGACAAAAAAGAAAAGAAAAGACATATGAAAGAAATGCCGAATAACAGACAAAAGAAAAGAAATAAGGTACAACTGGACGAAGGAAAAGCAAAGGGTTATTAAAACGCAATTAACGAAGGGAATGAGAATACAGAAAGACACGGATAACAAAAGATAAAAAATACGATAAAAACGAAGATAACGCTCAATGGAACGGAGAGAAAGGAATTTAATAAGCAATTAAAATGATGATGCATAGACTTAACATGAAACACAAATCAAAGAAGGAAAACAAAAAGAAGCACAAAGATAAAAGACGAATGAGATAAAAATCAAAGAATAAAACGGTCCATAAGATAAGAATGGATAAAGAATAGCAAATAGTTCAGGAAGAATGGGAAGAGGAAGAAACAAGGTAAGAACGGAATTAGGAAAATGCAGAAAGCAAAGAGGAAGTGGGAAAATTTACGGAAAGTAAAAATACAGAAGAAAATCAGTATATAAAAACAAATAAGAATATATATATGAAATATGACAGAAAATGATCCAAAGAAACAGATGACCTGTATACAGAAAAGAACAAAGAAAAGAAAAGGAACAAAGGAGAGAAAAAGGAAAAAAATGTAAAGAAATTAAAAAACAAAATTTTTATCTATAAATATCGTCATGCAACGTCTACTTTACATACTTGGCTGCTTCCGCCCTCATGACATTTCCATGTTTCCGCATGACATAACAAGAAAAGAAGAAAAAGAAAATAGGGAAAAACGAGAAAAAATGAGAAAAATAAAAAAGACAAAAAGGAAAACAGAAAAAAGAAAAAAATATATAAAAGGCCGATTTTCCGCCGGTGGCACCATCAGCCGGGCATTTGCTCAGCGGCGCAAACAACTGACCAATTCCTCATTAATGGTACAACCAAAGGGACGTTCCATCAGTAGCCATAAACGGCTGGTTAATTCTTCGTCGATGGCACAAACAGCTGACCCACTTCTCTATGAAAGCCACAATCAGCTGACTAGTCTTTTTCAGACTCAAACAGCTGATTCTACATCGAAGTATCAAAACCCGACAATCAGAAAAGAGACACAATCATTGTTTTGATTTTGTTTGTCCTTGGATCGCAAACCAAACAAATGTCTCAAATGTGTAAACGAAAATAAAGAAAAGAAAAGAAAAAATAATAACAACAACAACAACAAAACAAGAATCTTCGAAGGTCCCACAAGGAAAACAAGAACGAAAGAATCTCCAAAGTCTGGCACAGACATTGCAGGACAATCAATGCTTAGATATCAATAAAAAAAAATTGTTTCCAAGTTCAGATACTTATATTCTAAGTGCAACACAAAAAATAACCTACATCTTAGAATTTAAAGTTAGGCGGCATGGGCGGGCTGATCTCGCGCCCCCTATGGACAGCGCGCAAGATATATCGGTCCAAGTTGCTCGGAATAAAGCAAAACAGCAACAAGAGTTTTAAAATAATGATTCTACTTCTCTAATCGTTAACGTCTTCTTGGAGGAGGAAGAAGAAGGAAGAGAAAACAAACACACAAATAAAAGAGAGGAGGCAACAAAAACAGCAGTTAACTTCACTCACCGAGGCTGTTTTGCCGTTCTTACTGGTGACCTTGAGGAGCGATCCTTCGTAACCCTGGGGAAAATACAACAGAATCTTAGGAACGTTTTGTACATGGGCTGAAATTAACAATAATGTTATTTTTGGAATCATAACATTGATAATATGATATTAGACAATTTATATGAGATTGCAGTACAAACAAGTTTAAATACACTGACATATCAAGTACACACAAATACTGTTAGAAGCACACACACACACACACACATACACACACACACACACACACACACACACACACACACACACACACACACACATCCAAAATTAACATTATTATGATTATAACACCTCGATCCCCAAATTTAACTATTAATTGGAAGTCACATCAAACTTTTCAGTTTAAGCACTTGTAAAAAAAACTTTTAACCAGTCCTCAATTTTAACGATAGTGTATTAAAACTTTATACATGGCTGGTAGAATAGGCTTTAAAGGCGTGAGATGAGATGGGCGTAATCTGAATGTTACTGGAGCCTCATCATAACGATAAAAAAAGGCTATAACCTTATATCACAGTTACTTATAGTGCGATGCTATTTTCTTGTGGTTATGATGATGATGATGGTGATGATTTCAAAATACTGAGGAGGTAGTGTTTTTTTTTAGAAATGAATATGCAGGTAAGAAAAGGGAGGGAGTATATACTTATATTCCTTACCCCTTTCCACCTCTCTCCCTCCCTCCGCCCTCTTCTTTCACTTAACTCCGCCCATCTCCCTCCCTCCCTCCCTCCGTCCCTCTCTCTAACTCTTCCTCTCTCCTTCTCCTTCTCCTCCTCCTCCTTCCTCTCTCTCTCTTTTTGTAACCTTTTTTTTTCATCCGCTACTAACATGATTACAATGCATGTGAATGAGAAAGTAAAAACAAAACAAACAAAAACAAACAGCGGACATCTGTCACAAGAATATTCTACTTTTTTTCTTTTGTGGGTTATCTATGCGCAGGGCGATTGTGGAGACGATAGTTATGAAGATGAAAATGAAGATGAAGATGACAATAAAACCGCACACCAACCGTGCGCCTGTATTCCGTGCCCCGCCCCGGCGAAGCGCTGCCAGAGACGCCCATGCAGCGCTGCGGGCGAGGCGGCGGGCGGCGCAGAGGCGCACTTTGTAGTGTGTGTGTTTTTCAAGCAATAAATAGCTCGGAGCGAAGAGTAATATACTCAGCCAAGTGGCGGGCGGGCGCCATTCCCGCACCAAACTGCGGGGCCAGGTGGCGGCTTCCCACGCCCCCCACGCCCTTCCTCGCCTCGCTCCTTCACCCTCCATCACTCTCCCTCTCCCCCCTCTCTCTCCCGCTCTCTAATCTATCTCCCCTTCTTCCCGTCTCATTCCCCTCTTTTGCTATCCTTCCTTCCCTTAATCCCCCTCTTTCCCCTTTCTTTCTTCCCCTCTTCTCCCCACCTATCCTATTTCCCTCATCACTCTTCCTCTTTCACCACCCCGCCCCCAACCTCGCAGCTTTCCCCACGGGAGAGGAACATTCACCCCAGCATCATGCAAAGTGTTCATGCAACATGCACAGCGGCGCAAGAATAAGATCTGTCTTCTACTTCTTCCTCTCTCCCCCTCCCCACCTTCCCCTCCTCCCCCACCCCACCGCCATCTTCCTGTGCCAACCGCATAGC